TATCTTGAGAATAAAAAAGCTTATATATTTCTATATAATCGATATTTCGGTATTTTCATCTTAATATATCAGTTCTATGTTGGAACTATTTCTGATTTTTATAGATAAATATATTTCATAGTTTTTATAATCTTTCGGAAATAATCTTGAAAAGATCTTGATCTTCTTATTTTCTTTTTTTCCAGAATTCTAAATAATAGATTTCGTCTATAATTTTGGTCAAATATATTCATGGATTATTAATACGCAAATATCTGAAATAGCTATGAATATTAAAAAAATGAAGTTTCTATACAAGATTCATATTATTGAATATATAGGAATTTTTGGAATCAATCTTTTTATCTTTTCGGTCTAATTCTAAAATATATATTTGATCTATATATTCTTTTCTCACTCTATAGATCTTGAATTAGAGAATAGATAAGATATCCCAAATCTTGATTATTCTTACCATCTTTTTAGAATCGAGAATAAATATCTATTCTTATACTCTTTTCTTATGATTTCAATTTTGATAATCTAGTTTCTTTTCTATAATCATTTATAATTCATTAAATTATTAATAAATCTAAGAAATAGATTTGATTTGACGGATCTTTCTCGTATATATCAAATTCTAGAAAGATAGATTTATCTTTAGATTTCTTTTCTTCTATTCGAATCTATTTCTAGAAATTAGATATAAGATATCCAATCTTTTCATATCAATGAAATTATGGTCAATTCTAGAAATAATCTTTAATTATCCAATTCTATAGATAATTTCAGATTATATCCGAAGCTAGAAATATATCAATTTCAATTTCATTTTTTCTTCTAGAATCAATTCTATAAATCTTTGAATCTTTTATATTTTTCCTTCTTTCGTAATAAACCTAGAATCTGATATATTTAGAAAAATATAATTCTATATATTCTCCAACTACGAACTAAGAAAATTCAATTATATAGATAAAGAGATAATATATGAATATTTTTCATAATCATCGAATATCAATTATAGATTGGTTCATATATATCTATCAATGATGATTTTCATTTTAAATAATCTGAAAATAGGAATAGATTTTTGATTCGATTTATTCATAAATGATTATTCAAAGTTGAGAAATTTTCTTCCCAAAGATTTTCATCTCCTATCTAGAAAATATATTAGGAAAAAGAATCGAAAATCATAATATGAATCGTCAATTCTGACCGAACCTTGAAAAGAACAAAATATTTATCATCCCAAGAAAATTAAATCGCTAAAAAGAATCGTTGAAAAGAATCCGGAAGAAAAAAGATCAAATATTCTTTAGGAATCTATCTATCTATTCATAAAAAACGATAGATATATCGAAATTAATCGAAATTCATTTTTTGAAATTCATACGAAATATATTTCTTTATCCTACTTTCACGATGATATTATCTTGATGAAGAAATGACAGATATAAGATGCTTGATATAATATCGATACTCTCCTTCTTATAATGAAATCGAAAAGATCATTATCTAGAATCCATTTATAAGAATGATATTCGAAATAAATTGAAAATATATGAGATAGAACCGTTATTTCAAATATAAATTAGACGACGCTGGAAAAACGATCGATAAATCTAATAGACGGCGAGAATATTGATAAATCGATATATTATTAAGCGGATTTAAGAATAATCATATTCTATAATTTCGAATTCCTCAAGAATAATAGATCGAATATCAATTCATTGAAATTTTATATAAATATATTATATATGGAGATATTAAAAAATATGAAAGATCATGACATTGAAAGATTGATAATTCGATAATTAATCGATAAATTGGCAATCTTATCGAAAGATTATTCAATTATTGAAAGAATGACAATCCCTTAGATCGCCAGATCATTTCTTCTTAAATCAATTGCTAGATGATTTATTGATTCGAAAAATTCTATATATATATATTCATAATATAATTACGCGAACGACATACGACAAATCATCAAGAAATACTAAAAAAGAATAATTCATATTCAATCTCCGAATAAAATTATTCCTATTCAATCCAATCACGCGAATAAGAATATCTGCAATTAATCTAAAAATGAAATAGGAAATATTTAGAATTTCATAAATTACGAATATTCATGATAATTAAATTGAATCTTTATAGATAAAATACATTTTTTCATATCTTAAGAAAAGAAATGATAAATAGAAATATTGATCGTTCATTCTTCTGCCTATCTTATATTCAAATTTATTCTCCTCTATATAATATTCATTATTAAAAAGACGATCTAAAACGAATGCCCATATATATTTCCTATATCAATTCAAAAATCCTAATATTTTCTAATCTTTCTAATAAGAATTGATCAAATACGAATATTTCATATTCGAAAATTAAACGATTCATGAATTTGATAACGAAATTTATTCTATAAATTTCATTTTATGATATCATAATAGATTCCATCTCTAAATTCATCATAATATTCTTATCTTCTTCCTTCTATTTATATTCTCAATTGCAATACTATAATATAAGCTAGAGCTGACCCACTACCTGCAGCAACGAAAATATTTTTGAGAATATTCATAAAAGAAAATCCAATAGATAATCATAATATGAGATCATATACCAAATCCGATGAATAATCAATATATATGATCGCACGTAATAGAAACGATCAATCTATAGATTCTGAAAAATTTTGGATCTCCGCCCCGGGTCTATGCAATCCCCCGAATAGCTTCGCAACAGACAACCAAAGAGAGAGAAATAATTTGAAATCTTGGGAGATTCTTGGTCGCGTGATCCCCGTCCGGGGCAGTCTTTCCGCCTCAATTATCTCTCTGGGCTATCTGCGCGGCGGCTCCAAGGAGCACGTAAATCCCCGTAGATAGAGATTCTATCAATTATAATAGATGGCGAATCTCCATCCCAGATCTATGCCCTAATTCCCTAAATCTTCGATCTAGAAATCCCACCCCTCAACCCCAAACCCGTAAATCCTCGACCCATAAACGACAAACCCGAAACCCTAAACCCATAATCTATAATCCCTCAATTTCAAGCCCCTAAATCCTCAATCCATAAATCTTCGATCTAGAAACTCTAAATCCCTAGATCCTCAATCCGTAAACCCTAACCCTTAAAGTCTCCATTGAACTCAACTTGAAATCAATAGAGAATAAATTGAATTCAATTGAATTCAATGATTTCATCTGACTTCAATTGAATTCAACTGAACTCAGATGAATTCAATTGAATTCAAATAAATTCAATTGAATTCAATTGAAATCACTTGAATTCAATTGAATTCAATTGAAATCAAATATATTCCAATTGAATTCAATTGAATTCATTTGAATTCAAATTGAATTCAATTAAATTCTATTGAATGCATCTGCATTCAGATGAATTCAATTGAATTCAGATGAATTCGGCAAAATTTGATTAATTTTGGAAAACGATCCAAACGATCAATTTGAATCTCGTTCTATTAATATAATGATGATCTATTGCCATGGCTCTAGCTAAGAAGATAATGCTGACCTAGCGCGTCAGGGCGAAGCCTCTAAATTTCAAGATATCATTATCATAATCTCTTTCAATATCATAATCAGAATGATGGAGATATTGATAATGCTTCTCATAATTATAATCATTTTCATTATCATAATCATTATTATAATCGCTATAATTATCATGATTTTGATAATGACTAAGAGCATGATTATGAAAGTGAAAAAGATTATCTTTAATTCTAGTAATAATATAAATAATAATTATGAGCATATGCTTAGCACTATCAGAATCGTAAAACTCTCTCGATGAACCGAAATATTCGCCTAATCAAAATTATCCAATGCCAATAACAACTATTTCCAAGCCCTATGCTTTCGAAACGCTCTCACATCATCCAAATCAATTTAAAAATCTATCCTCTATTTGAAAATTTCCAAATCTAGTAATTTCGAAATTTATAAAAACGATATTATATTCGAAAATAGTCATATTTTCTAGTTATATATTGAAGATATTCTATAGTGGGCTATTATAGAGATACTCCGACTACAAAGATATTTAATAGCAAGAACATTTAGTAATTAAGCGCTATAGGAAAATTCTGCAGATGAATTCTATATAGATATTCTCCAATTATATTTTAGAAATATAAAAATATTATAAAAATATATAGTAGCTCTACGATTAAATATTATAGAAATATTATACGATCAAATATTGGAACTATATTTGCCGATTATATATTCCAAGAATAGATTACCATCCTAATAGAAACCGAATATACTATAAAATTTAAATATCTAATATTTCCTTAACGAAGGCAGAGAAAAATAGAAATTCCAAAGATTTCATCCGAAATCACAATATAAAAATCTTCAGAATTTCAGATATTTCATTTATCATAAGCACGAAGATTTATTATCTTCATATAGATTCAGAAATATAAGAAAAAAGATTTAATTTCAGAATTACCTCATAATCAAAGTTCTCGTAATTTTTGAATATTTCATCTAGAATAAGATTTCTACCTAAAACCAATTATAAATACTATTTACGTCATTTTATAATGCAAATATTCAAAATCATTTCATTTCCAAATGAGTTTTCAAAAATATGAATTTCGCACCTTTTGAATCTTTATTTCAACAAATTAATAATTCATATTTCAGAATATCAATTGTCATAAATCCTTTTAATATCATAAAAAAATATAATTCAAAAGATTATCGTAATATCATTTTATAAAAATCTTCCGGAATGAAATTTATTTATAGTCTAAAAATTTCCTTCAAAAATCTATCAGCCAAATTATCTTTGATTGAAAGATTTTCAAATCGTCAAGGAAATCTCCGCCCGCCCAATCTGAATTTGATCCTAGGAATTATTAACGATTTTAAGTCCTGAAATGATTTGTCATACGATTGATTGAATCATCATAAAAACGGATTTCATAATTCAAATTTTCAGTTGTATTCGAAATCTCATCCCAATCAGAAATCATGGATCTGGTAATGTACCTGCAACATATAAATATCAAAACGTGCAAGGATAGCTTGAAGTCGGCCTGTTCGAGACATAGCCCATGAGGTGGTAGGCCTCTGAACAAAATTGCGAATGAACAATCCACAATGCTCTCCTACTCGAGCCTACTTCAATCATAAATAGGTTAGTAGTTGTACGCCTAGCCATGCAGGCAAGCGTCATGGAAAAGATATTGCTGTAGTACCAGACTCCTTGCACCGATGCAGAACACTCAGAGCACTGCAGAAGACATCATGAAATCTCCTGCTTGGCTTTGTCAGGCTGCACCTGCCCGAAACATGCGCATGCTTTCGTGCTTTCGCTTGGTACGGCAGCAATCATTCAACTCAGCCTGAAGCAGTTCATCGATCTCTTCCACAGCAACACGTCCGCAAGCCGCGGACACCTCGCTGGCTTTGACGTCTACAGGAGCTCCCGGGAACTTTTCATATATGTCCTCAGGCCAGGCACAAGACAACCAACGATGTTTCGAACCATCCTGAAGATGGCTCCATCCAACTGAACCTTGCGGAATTTAAACTGGAAAAAATCTTCCAGAGGAAACAAAAGCACAAAACACGGAATCCAAACATTCAAGAAAAAGTGTGTTTTTCATGGCTCACGAAAGTGGGCTTCATTCTGGGTTGATGGATTTGTGGGACAATCACTACTATCATTATTCTTGCTGATCGCAGGTCTGAGCATTACTTACGATCAAGAATTTGCATTTGCACATCTAGGTGCTTAGCACCATTTTTGCCTCGTGCCTGGCAACCTGTGCAACCGTCTTGACAAAAGCTCGCCACAAGAGCTCTGCACTGCGGCCGTACAAGATTGAGACAGCAGACCCTCGAACCCAACATCACCAGCAAACATTACGTGCGCTGCTGAACGACAACCTGCTGCTAGGCTTAAGAGAGTACCTGGCTGCTCCGGTTAAACCTCGGGGCTGGACCTCGATCCGGCACTGTCCAGGGCCTTCCTCAACCTGATGCCAATCTAATCCATTGTTGAGCAAGAAGAGAACGTCAACTGCGCCAGCTGCGCCACGTTTACGCTTCGGATGGTCCGGACCGTGCCACCAGTCCTTGCACCAGGCAGGCGCTACGCAAGCAAGACAGGTCAGATAAGGTCAGTGCCAAAGCAGTTTGGAAAGTGGTCCTGTAAATATCCAGCTTGCTGGCGTGGGTGAAGTACCTGGCTCATTTCTGCGACGAACAGCCGCGAGCATTTTTACCATGTGAGCGCGGTGCATGCTCCTGGCAATGCCTGGCACTTCATCATACTGCTGGATTCCGCATCGAAAGAATCAGGATTCGTATGGCAGCATTGTGGTTCAGGGCACCCAGCTCAAAGATCCTTCTTTCAGAGATCCTTTCTTCATGCTTCATGCAGCCTCCACGCTTAGCATTCAGGGCCTTGATGACACGGTCGAGCAGTGGGCACGAAAAGTCCTTCTTGCCCACAAATTTCGCAGCGGCCACACGGAGGAGCTCTCCATTGAAGGTGCGTGCCTGGCGCTCGGGATTGTATCGAACTGAGCTGGGGCAGATCAGAGCGCTGCTGACAACAAGCCCTGGTAACGCCCTGGTATGTGCTCTGGAGGAGGGACATACATCCACTTCATCCGTCCATCGACAAGCACGGCTGCTGAACCCAGCTGCTGGGTATCTGGTATCTGTAGAACCTCACCGTCATGCACTGAAAGAACCAAGGCCCGAAAGAAAATGCTGTCCACCACTGCGCAGAAATCGGAACACAAGCGCCTCTCCAACGGATCTGCTGGATTTCTCCCACAGTGAAGGCGATAGACCTGGAAAGGCGGCACTTGTCCGTCCATGACCTCTGACAAGCTTCATCTGACAAGCTGCAACATTTTCAGGCATTTCCCCGCCATTGGTTTCACTCCTCACAACAGATGGATGACAGTCGATCATTCAATCATGTACTCAAATGGGTCGCATGATTTGAATGCTGGGATGCCATGCATATAGCCCTAATATACCGTAAAGTTGCTTCCATTTTCTTCTCCATTATCCCTATCTCGCCCTATGTTACCCTATATTATCCCAATATTACCCAACCGCATGAGCCCTCCGCGCAGCTTGGGCCAGCACGTATGTCTTGCCACTGGCAGAGAAAGTGGCATGAAAGTCAGGAGGGGCATCCTTAAAGCTCCTTGGCAGCATCGAAATTACTGGGTTGCTGTTGCGGAACTTAAAATAGGTTAGCATGATGGGTATTTATATATATTATATAATGATAGGGTTTCCCCAATACCGTAACTTGAATTAAGTGCCTTAAACCCACCCTCATAACTGCATCCAGGAATTCCCTGAGCAGAGGCTCTGCAGCAAAGCGGCCACACTCGTATATCTGAAGGCAACTGCAGGACAGGGTCAGGTAACGCATGGGCATTGCTCCAGTGGTCCAGACCCTGTGGACCTGCTCGTTCATCTGCTGCTCCCAGCGGTCCTTGCTCCAGTGGCTAGATGTGTCAAGAGTGTAGGTTGCCATCTAGGCCCTTGTTGACGGTCAAAGTACTTACTAACCAAATGTCAAAAACAAGTGACATGTCGAACAGCACATGTTCACAACAAATTATGACGATGCGAAGTAAATAGATTTCAAAAGCAAACGACAACGCCTGCCAGTTGATCGGTCTGTCAGCGGCTACCGCATCAGGAACGTCAAAGTGCGCGGCCTGTGCACCGCTTTCCGCGTGAAAACAAATATTGCCGTACCCGCGCATGCCTGCCCTCGAGCATGTACTCCGGCATCCGTCCTGCACAGGCTTGGACATTTTGCGCACACCTGCGCGCTGTGTGGTGCCTTTCCAGGTCGGCACTGCACTTGCAAGGCTTGAAAGCTTCCTGCTCGCTCCGCAACTGAAGGTCTTCTTCCGTAGCAGTAACGAGGCAGCACCTGCAACGACGGGTTTACTAGCGAAGGATGAACATCACATGTCACTGAACTAAGATGTCGACGGTCAATCATTCCTGCGACTGTCAGAGGCGAGGCGTTCTTCACCTCAGCAGCCATTGTAACAGCTTTTTAAACTAAAACTGGGGCACAAAGACCCCAGCCCTGGCCCAGCCGTTGTACTGACTTCCATCCTGAATGAGCTCTTGGTCTACGACTTGAGATATCCGCTTGGTCTTGCATACAGAACTCAGACCCATGCGTACGAAGCTCGGAAGCAAACTCGACGGAAGCCCGGCGAAACAAGCGATCGACGCTCTGCTCCATCCGCTGCCTGGAAATGAAAAGGACGGCAATTCATAAGCAGGGTCTCTCACGGCTTGGGAAATGCCTCATCCACTCCGAGCACTTTGGTGGACAGCTCTGGGCTTTTCTGAGGCCTGGAAGTGCCACAATGAAACCCTGACGTTTTCAGCATCAACTTCATGAGCTGACCAGCCACGCTTCTTGACCAAGCGCAAGAGGTCCCCATACTGTTTCCGCTCGGCCGCCTGGCGCAGCAGACTGTTGTTTGCAGAAGAGAAAGGGGCAGCAGCCTCCGGGCTGCGTTCCGATGGCGCTGTCTTCGCGAAGGCCAAGCAGGGCACCACTAACTTGGCCGCGGCATTGCAGATAAGTCTGATGTTAGTCACAGGGACAAAAAGACTCACCACCGCAAAAGTGGCTGCTGAAAGTGCTGATAAGCTTTAGGCAGGTTTCATCCAAGCTGCTATAACAGCCGCACTAGCGAGCCGCACACGCAGGCGGCGCCAAGTGGGCACCTGGCAAGCAAAAGGAGGGCAACCAGAATTCTTCCTGATTGACGCACAGCGTCACTTGCTTGAGGAGCGTAATATCCATTTGCCGCAACCTCGGCCGGATTTATTCACAAGCTAAATTTTGGCCAGTCAAGCTTCCATCAGCAAACGATCTAGCTACCAGCAAAACAGCTGCTGAACAGGTCGCCTCTTTGCCAAGATGTGGCAGCAGGCAGCGCATGCCCAAGCTGCATGGATGAAACCGGTTTTGCACTTCTTCAGTTTTGGTTCCCATTTGTCACTTAGCTGTCAAGCCTTGTCCAGTCATGATGACTGCTTATCACCTTACTCAAATCCCAGTATATACTGCTGCAATTCATTTTGCACTTGCATGACGTTTCTACTGGTTTCTACAGCCTTGCTGGGTAAGGGCTGCAGCAACGATGCTATGAATAATTAAGGATGCGGAGGGGAGGAAGCAAAAGCAGTAGTAGTGAAAGTGGGCGCTGTTGGTGGCAGTGGTGGTAGTGCTAGTGCTTGTGGGAATGGTAATAGCAGTTATAAAAAGAAGTTTCTAGACCATGAGCGAAACCACAAACCACTCACGGCCCCATTTGGAGTTAACCACGATCGCTTGGCTAATCTCCCCCTACCAATACTCCTCCCTCATACATAGATAACACTCCTCCCAGGAAGCTTCAAAAAAACTATGCTTGAAAGGGCCAGGATATTATTGTCAAAAGGAATCCGGCGGAGAGTTCCGAGGTTATTACGGTTAGAGATCCCTTGAATTCCTCGATTTTATTGCCAATCATGTATACTTTGTATCTACGAATTTATGTGAAAGCTGAATCGGGTTTCGTTAATAAATTAAGTTCATTATGCTTCAATCACTGATTTTCACTAGATTCTAGTCAGGTTTGAATTAGTCAAATATATAAATACATCTAATGTTCATTCTAACTATGTGTTCATCACTACGGCTGTAAGTAGGTTTTAGTTGGATTTAAGTAAATGTCGATTGAGTTTTACGGGAGACGGTTTGGTGTGCCAGGTGCCACCCACCTATTTCGCATGCCTCCTTGCACAACTAACAAGAAGTTTGCCTCTAACTCCAAAAAGCAGGCTGTGGGCTCTCGGCTGAGGCACAGGAAAGCCTGCTCTGCATTGCCATGCCAAAAAACTTCAAACCATGACCGTTGCTGGAGGTGTACAGAGCATGATCGTTCAAAGCACCCTGTCTTCCAAGGCAGAATCGGCCACGCTTTTTTTCGCTAGCGCACTATCGCACCGCTAAAGTTAGTTTTGTAGCTCATCTGGTATTCAGACGAATCAGCAATGTGAGACACGCTCATGTACCTTCAAACAAGTGCAGTTAGCTATTCCAAGGACAGACTAAGCAATAGCATGCACAGATCAGTCACAGGGGCAATTGCTGTTGACCAGTCTCCTGACAGTAGCAGACACAAACTGCTGCTGAGAGAGGCATGTTGGTATGCAAGTTCCATTGACACCGGAGAATCAGAACCGATAGGTGGAGAAGTGTCTCCACGCATGCACTTCAGAAAGAAGGGTTCATCATGTATCTCCATCAGTCACGTCATTAATCAACTCGGTTCCGCAAAATGAGTCATCATAGTCACACCAAGGTGAGACTGAATCTCAACACGTCATCATGCACCGGGTCGACTGAGAACAAGCATACAACAACACGCCCAACGTTCTCAATTGCACACACCCAAGGCAGCATCACCTTAGCCAGATCTCACAAAGCCACAAACAGCTCCCCTCGCAGAGAGGGTCATCGCCATCACAGACCATGAGCAGATCACGGGTCCAAGCTTGCACCTGACACAGAGAAAGACAAGATGCTGAAGGGCACAGTGCAACAACAAGAGCTCTGCCAGGACAAAGCAACTGGGCTCAGAACAAGGAAATGCGACACTCAAGCCTGAGATTTGGGACAGCTAGAGCAAAGCAGAGAGGGAGGTGTTGGAGGTGTTAAGTCACACAGACGGGCAGGAGCACGCAGGAAGTGTGGACTTATCGGCTGCTGCAGCAAGCCAGAGGAGCGGCGTACAGATAGGTCCAAGAGACAGGCTCATGCTACATGCAGCAAGGCAATAGCATGCTCTATACACGTCCACCTTGTGGAAAGCAAATTAAGGCCAGACAGGCCTGATGGGGACTCAGAAGCTGTCGTTACGCTTGCGCTTAGGGCCACGCGTCACTTGGGCAGACTCAGGGGCAGGAGCAGCAGTCACCGATGGCGTAGAGGAATCATTCTGTCTGTGAAGCTGCAAGGAACGCCATGCAGTGCGCCATGCCCAGGTCCATGTGTTGCCTCCGCCAAGTTTGGCGCAGATCCAATACCATGTATGGTTGACCACTGCTGCATCCTCTACCTCCTCCTGCGAGGAAGCGCGGGCACTCTTGGTCAAGTGTTCCATGTGTGGAGAGCACTGCGAGGCTAGGGGCAACAAGGGCGCACTGTCTGGAGCAGAGAGCCAGGACGGCAAGCAAGAAACAAGGAGGCAGACTGCTGCAAAGCAAGCGCAGCAGCTGCAGACCATCACAATCTAAGGTGCTGGCAAGCACAGTGGTGTCACAAACCTGGGCTGTGTCATGTAGGTTGGGAGAAGGAGGCGAGATTTTGGAGACAGGCAAGAGTGTGAAGAAGAGTACTATGACAAAGACATTATGCTTTTGGCCTCAGCTCTGCAACTTAGCCAATCCATGGGTATCACACAAGCTAGGCTGTCTCACTATCGAGGTTGAGGATCCTGAACACGCGGCGCCAGAGGGCCGTTGCATGTCGCCAACTAGCTCGCGCTAATGCTCGGCACAGGTGAGCAGCCACACAGAGTTGACGTCTGAGAGCGCTCACCAGGGTCCTAATATGACTACGCTCCAGAGACCACACACGATAGTCAAGCTGAGTAAGCTCATTGCGCAGCTGCGGGCCTAAAGGCGTGATAATGTCAACCGCCTGTTCAAGGTCATGAAGTCTGCCTCCTTGTTGTGTCACTTGTTGATGGACAGCGTTCAAATGATTGCCACTGGCTGCAAAGTTCTGGAGACGGAGCTGGGCTTGTTGAGCAAGGCGGAGTTGCCTGTCTAGCCTGAGTAAAGCTGCTGAACAAAATCCCCGTTCCGTCTGGCCCCAAGCACCTTCGACCACTTGCCATCTCGTGCACCTTGCTGAAACTCTTCTTGCGCATGATCTTGAAACGCCTCCTGCTTGCCTGGCCTGCGCCTCAGGTTCAATTCTGCTCTGAAGGGCGCCAAGCACTTGAAGTAGTATCTCTAGCGCACGTTCTTGTTACCCGTTGCGCAGAGTGGAAATTGCCATTGGTTGTGTTCAAGCTGGACATTAAAGGCGCTTTTGACAGTGTGCATTGGTCGGCCGTTCTTTCGTGTCTTCTTCAGCATGGCCACTCCATTGATGTTCATACGACTAGAGCCCTAGCTAACGCGCTAACCTGCCACCGAATGCAATTTGAGCTAGCTGGAGGATGTTTCACGGTCGACTGCGAACGTGGAGTCCGACAAGGGTCGGTTGAATCGCCCTTCCTCTTCTCGTGGCTTATCGATACCAAGCTGAGGCCTCTGCAAAACAGATGGGATGGGGAGTGTCCGCGGAGCCCGTGGGGGGTCGGCCTGCTGAGCTTCGCCGACGATACTTACTTGCTCGCATCATCCTTTGCTCAGGGCCTCCGCTACCTCAATGAAGTCGAACATGCCGTTGGTGAGTCGGGACTAGAGTTGCAACCCCTCAAGCTGCAAGTAGCCTATAACCATGCTGTTGATGACTTGGAAGTTGCCTTCAATGCCCTACTTCCTGACAATCTTGTTGCGCCAGGTGAATCGTTCAGGCTGCTTGGAGTTCAGGTCTCCCTGGACGCCGGCACTGCGCCTGACCTCGGTGTTGCACTTGGAAGAGCCTGGTCTGTCTTCAATACGTGGCGCAGGATCCTTTGTGACTCCAGTATCTGTGTTGGCCGAAGAATCCAAGTCCTAAATACTCGGGTCGCGTCCGCGCTGCTTTGGGCAGCCTCCATATGGCCCGTCCGCGTCGCGACTCTCAAAGCTATCTCCGGATTACAAACCCGTATGGTTGCACTCATGCTCGGTTGGACTTCTGACGGTCAAGACCTTGCATCTGGTATCCGGGCTGCGCGACATAGAGCTAGAGCTTGTTTCCGGCAGACCCGCGGTGGATTTTGGCACCATAAGGCGCTAGTACTCAACCACCGTTTTGTTGGCCACATCCATCGCGCAGCTGAGCACTTTGCCCCTGTCTGCAGGATTCTTCGCTTTCGAGACCGGAAAGGAGCATGAGAAGGCTCATCTGGCAGGCCTCAGGCATGACGCACGATTTTGTCCTTTCACTCGGTGGGACGAACCGTACGCTCTGTACTGGGCGGAGCATGCCCAAACTATGACTGACCTTGCGGCTGAGGTTTGGTATGAGCTTTGTCTCAATCGTCGCCTTTGGAGAAGCAATGAGCACCAATGGGTGACCCACTGGAGCTCCAAAGCAGGACTTCCACTCCTGAGGACGTGACCTTGGGTTAACGCTAGTTAGGTGCCTGCTTTCTGTCTTCTTGCTCTCGCTTAATGCCTAAGCCCGCCTGTGGCTGGCTGTGACTCAGACTTTAATCTAGTGCCTGTGGTTCTGGTTCTCGGCTCTAGCTTCCCCCCTGTGCCTGCCAGTGCCTCAGCCTCGCCGCCTGCGCCTAGCTGCCACAGAGATCTCTTTGCATTTCGTTTCAGCGTGTCTTGCTCCGACAGGTTGTGTGATGAGCCATGCCCTCAGATACTGTCTGGACAAGCCCTGGGAGTTGCCCTTTTCAGCTTTCTTCCTGCCTCTCTTCCATAGCCGTCTCCTTGATTGTCCTCCTTCTCCATCTAGCCAGGTTCTCGCTGAACTCTCCAGGTCCCCCACCGCGCTCCGTCCCTTGCTCAGACATGCCCTATGTTGCACTCTTGTGAGAATGGTTTGATGGTGCTTGCCTACCCTG